ATGAGGGCTTATTCATTAGTTGAACAAAGGCTTTTTCTAGAAATGGGGATTATATTGTCAGTAATTTTAGAGGGAAAATGTCATTGTTCATTTTCATAGTTAATGTGGTGACCAGGGAAAATAGGATCTTTTAGAGAAGTTTTTATAGTATATAGGAAAAATTTTATACATTATCCCCCCCTTTTTTTTCTATTGGGAGACTTTTGTGCTGACAGAATTTGATGCATATATAAATACTACTTTGTTGTTTTGGAAATATTTTTATCCTAAATATCAAGCCTGCAAAAGGAATATAGGTCTTTAATTTATGATATGTAAAATACGATTTACAAAGAAATAAGACACTCTGATTTTTCTTTTTAAATATTCTAATTCTCTTTTTTTTAAAAAAAGTATATATTTATTTCAGAGAGAGGAAAAGAGAGAGAAACACCAATGATGAGTCATTGATTAGCTGCCTCCTGCATGCCCCCTCCTGAGGATCGAGTCCAAAACCTGGGCATGTGCCCTGACCAGGAATCGGACCTTGATCTGGGTCCTAGGTCGATGCTCAACCACTGAGCCATTCCCAGCTGGGCGATACTCTAATTCTTTATTTTTCTAAGCAGGCAGTATACTTAATCTGGGTATTATAGAGCCTGCGAGCTTCTATCTTTAGTTAAAAGATGGAGTTAATGTTTAACTATGTTGATGTTTAACTTAACTATATGACTGATTTTTTGACAAAAGTTGTATCTTAGGATGAGTGAAAACTAGTTATAAATGAGAACATTTAGAAAACGTTAACAAATACCAACACTGCTAAAGAGCTTCTGATATGCTAGACAAAGATTATTTTGCTATTGTCTATGATAAAAAATTTGCCAAATGGTAATGGAGAGCAGATATAAAATAAGTTCTTTTCTTGACAAAAGTTTTCACCATGTATTAAGGTAATGCAGTACTGCAGAGCCCCCAAATTCAGTGACAAAATACACTAAAAGCTCATTTCTCACTATGTAAAAGTTTAATGTATTCCTTATCAGGCAGCTTTTTTTCAGTAAGTGAGTAGGAATCCAGGCTACTTTATTTTGTGATATACTGTACTATAATGCTGTTCCCAGTTGTCCCCTTCCAGCCATTCAGAAGGGAAAAGAGAATATAGGATCCTGGCTGGTATATCTCTTCTCTACTGCTCACATTTCTTCAACTAGAACTAGGTTCTGTGACACCTAGCTTGGACGGGGAGGCTGGGAAATTTAGTTTAGATTTGTACTCAGGATGGTGAGGAACCTGTTTGGTCAGCGACTGCCAAACTGCGCCAAGAGTGAAATTGTTTTTTCAAATAAAATCTCTGAACTCTTACAAACCTTTTTTTTTCCTTTCTTTTTTCTGGTTACATAGTTGATATACTATTTGGGGTTTTGGGGAAGGCTATATATTTTGTAAACAGATTATCCCCCACCCCATACACCTTTTTTTTTTAAATAATTGGTAGTGGTGGGGCATGTGGGATGGGGAGACCAGGTATGGTAGACATTTAGAGGAAGTCATCTGAAAACAGGCTGTAATGATTTAATCACAGGGCTTTTCTTTTGAAAGGCTAAGTTACGTAGTTTTTTTTATTGGGGAGTGGGGCCATTGATACCCATGCTCCTGTGTCTGTGCTCATGTTTGTGTGTGAGAGACAGCAGTTTGGGTATGGAGATTATTGAAACTTTATGATAAATTAGAACTGTAATTTAAAATAGCTTTTTTTTTTTTTTTTTTAATGTGTTAGGAGAGGTCTAATTCAGCTCTAAGAATTTCATCATCTATTGTTAAATACATGTTTATTTCATTGAACTTAAATTAGCCTAAGATAAATGGTAAAATAGATTATTAACTATTATCTTAATAAACAATTTAAATTAAGGCACCACGAACTGATCCATAAAGGAAAATAAGAATGTAACAAATTAATTGAATCATAAGTTAGTTCCTTATCACATTATAACAGAAATTGAAATAAGCTTTTGAAAATGTATTACTTAGTATTATCCATTTTCTGTGGCCAAATACTTTGTATATCAGTACTCTTCGAGCATTTTTTACTTATCTGCTTAGTTGCTGCCAGAGTCAGCAGAGGGATTCTTCCTCATTCACCTTGTTATCTTGTAAGAAATAGATAAATTATTTTCTTATCCATGATTAAAGGGAAAACTAGCCAAAGAATCAGGCCATATTTTTAATTTCTGGATACTGGACTATCCTAATGTTGGGTAAACTAGCACAAAATAATGGATGTATAAATAATATAAAATATGAACTTGACTTTATATGATAAAACAAGTAGGAAAATTCCAAGAGATCTAAAGTCTGTTAACTGAATAAAGAACTTAAGTGTGTAGGTACACTTGTCTATGAGTATGCCTTTATATTGTGTTCTTGACATGGAAGAACTTTTTTTAAAAAAAATATGTTTTTATTGATTTCAGAGAGAGGAAGGGAGAGGGAGAGACGGAAACATCAGTGATGAGAGAGTGTTACTGATCGGCTGCCTCCTGCATGCCCCCCACTGGGGACTGAGCCCACAACCTGGGCATGTGCCCTGACCAGGAATTGAATGATGATCTCCTGGTTCATAGGTCGACACTCAACCACTAAGCCAGGCTGGCTGGGTGACATGGAGGAACTTGTTTAGCTGGTGGTCCAGGCAAGCTAGGTTTCACTAAGAATCTGGGGAAGACTCATTGGGATATTTTCAGGTTAAAATTGTAGTAGCAGAAGAAGACATTGTGGTGATAATACCCCAGATCTACTAAATGGTGAGAATTGAAAACCTTGGCTTATTATACTGTAAAACTTTTCAGCATTTGTGGTAGATTCTTATTAAATATATGTTGAATGGTATTGTATTTTCACTTTGCTAAAGTGAGCTTTTGAAATGATAGAGTAATATATTAACTTTTTTCTTGCTCATCATTTCATTTGTGTTATCTTTCCCTTTCAAAATCATTTAAACTTCTTCCACTGATATTGCAGTTTTTTAGTTCTAATTTAATTTTGAAAATTTCAAACTTAACAAAAGTTGAAAGAATTATACGAGGAACACATATATCCTTCTCCCTGGTTTACCATTTTTTAACATTTTACACCTCCCCCAACACACTTTTTTGGGGAACCATTTGGAAGTAGGCTGCAGACATCATGAACCATCACTTCTAAATACTGCAGCATACATCTCCTACGAATATGTACGTTTTTCTAAATAACTATAATAGTGTTTCACCTCTAAAAATAAACATTAATTTAATAATATCATTTACTATACAGTCTATAATAAAATTTCTCCAGTTCTAAAAAGTCCTTTTTGCATTTTTTTTTAATCATGACTCTCAGTGTCTTAACTTCCAGGCTCTTCCACTGCCCCCCCCC